ATATATTAAAATAAAGCATCTTATAAAATAACACTTTGTAACGTGCCATAACGCGTTTACAATGGAAGTCAAGCCTAGAGTGGAGCCATAGGGGTGAACGTGACGGCAAACCCAAGCTTTGACGCTATAACGAGTTATTTTGAACTATGATATATATATATATATATATATATATATATACACACATATATATATACATATATATAACATTTAAAAATTATATATTAGCGGTGGGTTTGGGGGGTTGAACTAGGCCTAACCAATTCCAACCCTCTTAATTGGCGATTCGGCGAGTTGGGTTTAATTGGGTTGTTAACAGGTTGGGTTGGACAAGTTTTGCGGGTTGACGGTCTTATATACACCTGATAAGTGTGCAAAAGCATACACTTTAGCACCTAATTATAACTTTATTTCACTTCATATTTACACCTTTCCAATCATATATTGAGTCTTTTAGTCTTATTTTATGGTTTCCCATTTATTGGAGTTATGATGCAGGAATTGTATTTTTTTTATGTATTTGATGAATGAAATGCTGACATAAGCATTGATGTAGCACGTGTACACGTTGTTGCAGCAATGGGCACTGGATATTGGCACAGTTGGCTGAAAAGTCAAATTTTGGAGGAGGGCATCTTCTAGTACTGATAGTAGGCGATTTTGATAGAAGATGCCACTGAAAGATACCTTAACTTTTTGTACTTAAGAAGCATCTTTTGTACTTAAGCATCTTTTATGATACCCATTGGTTAATAACCAATGGTTATTAACCTCTAGTACTTTTGATTCCTCTTTGCTAGTATATACATGGGGTGATCTTTCGTTTAATATTAACAAATTGAACAATATCACTTTATTATCAAGAACAAAGCTTCATCTAAACTTTGGGTCATTGTTACTTTTTAATATCATTTTGCAAGTATTTCTAAGTGTTCTTCGTCACTGTTAATTGTTGCATCAACTTTTCCATCTTTCTCTTTACTTTTCGTGCAAAATTTACTTTTACGTCATTTACATTCAGTCATTTCCATTTATGTCATTTATTTTTAAGCACTTACATTCAGTCATGTTAGGCTAAATACCTTATTATGGGTGTAAGTGAAGGTTGTGAGATTACGCCAAATGTTAGTCGATGATTGTTTTGCTAATAACAATTTATTTCACTATTCACAAGTGGTATCAATATTTCATCTGGTAATCTTTGACAAATTGACACATGTTATTTCATCCAAATGAGTTGGACTTAAAATTAAGACAAAGAAAATATTGTTACTACATGTGTTATAGAGGCTATAAAGAGTCGTAGTAATCTTGTGGGTTGCAAAACTATATGGAAAGAAAGACAAGATTTGTACTAGTTTTGAATTGATGCATCACCAAATGCACTTCAACATATGGTCTAATTTGCACTTCCTTGGAAGGCCGTTTGATCCAGTAGTATTGTAAAGAGCTATTTATGTAGCAATATTCACTACACTTCGTTGCTGAAATCCAACCTGATCTTGCATCCATACTATCTTTAAGTTATTGTTACTTTTAAGTATTTGGTTACCAAATATCTCAAAGATATTTTCTCTCTGAAGCTTTATTGCTTCCAAAAAAACCCTCTCTGAAATCTCATTTTAAAGTTAACTTGTGTGACACTCTTTGTATTTTAAATCTCTGTGGAACGATATTTGGTATTACTTACCATTATTAATTGATTTAGACGATACTTGTAAGTCATGTATACTTGTGTGATTTACTTGTTAATATAGGCTTTTGAGGGTATAGTTATCCCAACACCAACACCCCTAGTTATTAGTGTTACTGAGACTTTAGAGGTTGAGGAGACAAACATCCCAAATTTAAGGTTTGACCTTATTTCGATATGGATTGTTCTTTTCAAAGTTATATCCTAAATAGCATTTGATCGATCTATTAGAGGATCTGACGCTCAATCAGCTCAGTCAACGAGAGTTTATTCTCTTTCTTCATTGATTATCTTGTCAACAATGACCTGATCAGATATTACATCCTCTATTTTAGTTGGTTACTTAATTTTGATCTTACATTTTCAAATTGATCGCTAAAATAAAGATTTAAGCATTCAGCTTTTATCTTGCCATTTATGGCATTTTAGAGATCAATTGTAAGATAGCTAAGAGGTTGGCGTTTATCCGCATTAGAGAGAGGGATCCTCAAAGTTAGGTAGCTTGAACGACTTAGAGGATTCAGCTACACTAGAAGAATTGGAGGCTTCAACTTGTTCAAACTTCATATCTTCAATATTTGCGATGAGACAAATATATGCAGTGTCTTCTTAATCTGAGGAGGATGAAGCTGAAGAGGAGTCAAACCAGTCATGCTTTTAAGTAAATGGTCCTTTACTTTTCCTTCACTGAGATTTTACATGTTGATATTTTTCTTTCAGCCTTTTGAATTTATCTTCCTTGGATCAGTGAAAGAAGGCTTGAAAACTATTTTGGACATGCATTCACTAGCAAAATGTCTTTTTCTCTCACAATTATAACACACATCATTAGCTCTCTCAATATGTGTTGACTTAGGTTTCTCGGTTACAACATGACTCTTGTTTCCACAAAAAATTAGTCTTTCTGAAAAACCTTCTGAAAGTATTAGCGAGAAAATCTGGAGAGTTATCAAATTATTGTGAGAGATCTCAATGATCTCATTAGAAGCATACAGTTGATGATATGGCTCAATGCCAGTCAGATGATTAGATTCTTTAGAAGACTTGAAGCTATCTGAAGAAAGGATGAGAAGAGTGCTCTTTGTGTCTCTTACAAGACATTTCTATAGAACCTTAGATTTCTCATGATTTAATAGGGTTCCATAAAGAGCACCGATTATCATGGTATTCAGGTCTTTTGAAGTTTTACCCACATAGCAAAGTTTTCCCAAGAATTTGGGAGACATTCCAATAACTTCTTCAGTACCTCAGAATTGGAATATTATCTCTCAACAATCTTGAGACCAATTAGTAAACAGTTAAAATGCTTGTGTATCTCGGACAGAGGTCCATACTTACAACAAATAAACATGTATTCTTGTCATACCAAGTTTATTTTTCTTGATTCTTGTACTTCAGTGGTACCTTCATATAGTACACAAATGGCGGCCCAAATATCTTTTGATGTCTTCAGATTCATGATTGAATGATAAACATGACCAGGGAGTTCCATGGAGATGATTTTCCAAGCTTTAGTGTCAATGTCGGCCTCTCACTCGGAGAGTGTTGATATTGAAACAAGAAGATAACAATTGCGGTCTCCGACTTCTTTGCCTATCACTTTGAGTCTAGAGCCTATACACATTAGGACACAAGTTGATTCTATTGTTGTATGTCTTAGTGACACAACTGGAACATCCGGAGTGAGATGTCATTTGTTGGCATTTCACAAGGACAGGATGGAAATCCTACCAGTGTTATCACTCGGAGTCCGATGGTCAGACCGAAGTAATCAACCGCTGTTTAGAAACGTACCTGAGGTGTTTTGTAGTTGATCAACCTCATAATTGGTCTTTGTGGATTCCTTAGGGCTGAATTTTGGTATAATTTCACTTTTCATGAATCAACTGGGAAAGCTCCATTCGAGGTGGTTTATGGTCGAAAACCACCAACAATTACCCAATTCATACCGGGGGAAATACGAGTCCAACAGGTGCTTGAAGAATTAAATGATCGTGATGAAGCTTTGAAACACCTTCGAGTTCATCTGTCACACGCTCAAGAAGTTATGAAGCAGAATGCAGACGACAAAAGACGTGAGGTACACTTTGCTGTTGGAGAATGGGTATACGTCAAATTGAAACCGTATCGATAACTTTCAGTGGCTAGTCGCATTCATCAGAAGTTGGTGGCACGTTTTTTTGGACCATTTATGATCACATCGAAGGTAGGACCGGTGGCATACAAGTTAGATCTTCTTCCAACATCAAAGATACATCCGGTTTTTCACGTCTCGTTGCTAAAGAAAGCTGTTCATGGATCCACAGATACAGTTTTACCTCCGGAACTAGATTTACATGCAAATGAAATAATTACCCCAATGGCTGTGCTAGCCACTCGTACAAGCAAAGATCATAACAATGATGTTGAGCAATAGTTGATTCAATGGAAAGGGAATTCTATGGAAGAAGCAACCTGGGAAGATGCTTTGATGATTAAAAGTCAATTTCCTGAAACAAGTCTTGAGGATAAGACTTTGTCGAAAGGGGGAAGTAGTGATACGAATTGGGAATTAATTAAAAACAACGCAAATAAGCCTAGAATATTGCATGTGTATTCTAGAAGGGGTAAAAAGGGAAATGAGAAAAGTGGTTGATGTTTGTTAGAGGAGAGAGAAGAATAAATAGTGGAGGGTGATCTTGGAGTCGGGTATTCGGTTATTTTCTTTCATGATTGTTTAGGCTCCAATCTGTTGATTGTGAGAGAGGGGTTTCCCTGAGTTTTCTCTTTGTAATTAGTCCGATTCAAGTTCAATGAAATCCATCTTCTTCATTCCAATTTTGTGTTCTTATTCGTTTTGCATTGAAGTGAATTCATTAACCCATCACACATGATAGGAAATTAACTCAAAGAAATAGCCTTTAGATTATGGAGGCTTGGCTATGGACGGATTTGGGTTTTGAATTGTCTAAACCAGTTGGGTTGACCCGTTACCTAAATGACCCGATCAGTTAAAACCGGTTATGATGCCCACTTTTGGTTACGAGGGTTGGGCTCCGGTGAGAGGGGAAGTTATGGTGAGAAGCCTAAGAAGAGATCTCCATCCTTGGATCAATCCTAATTGAATATGAACACTAATAAGGTGCACCGAGATGCATTGGGACAATTCCCTTCTAAAACGCAATTCATGGATAGGCATGAGATTAAAAGTGATCAATGGTTCAGATCTATTCCTACGCTTCTCACTATAACTTCTCTTCTTACACAATCCTTCACCTAGTTATGAAATGTCTAGGTTACATAAAGAGTGTGAAATTATGAAACAGAAGGAAGCAAAGTAGTACATTTCCATTCCCTAATAATAATAATATGAACCCCAGGATCATTCTTGTCTCTCAAAAATCAAAGATAAATTCCAAAAACAATACAACTACAAGCCTTGAACAACAACAGTGGAGGAAATAGCTAATCTGTTGGACTCTATTATCTATAAAAATGAAGATTGGTCGATGATACAATGCAAACTGACCTCATTTAGATTCTTAGATATTGATGGTTGCATCCCACAGTCTGAGCAGTCCGTTGCGGCCACCGCTGCATATCCTTTTCCTTTCAAGATCTGAAGCCACACATCTTACCTGAAATAATACATTTTACACTCCATAACAAACCATTGCAACTAAAATCCAAACAGATGTTGAAGCATTCAAACTTGTTAGATGAATCAAATAGTAATATTATCCTGTATTATTTAGAAAACCAAATTTCTTATATGAGACAGTTCCATTTATTTTAGGACCCAGTAAATTCCACAAGTATTTAGGGTATGGGGAGGGTAGGATAGGGGAGCATGGATATTAAAAAGCAGAAGCATAAAAAAAGAAGGCATACCATTGCTACTGCTTTTTGCGGTGTTCTGTAGAGTTGCCAGCTTGAGATCTTTGAAACAGTGCCAGAGAATCCACCAAGTCTTTCTTGAGGGCGATGGAAGAGAGACATGGTATTATCAGCAGCTCCTATTCCCAACCAATTCTCTCCAGCATTAATCGAAAGAACAGCACCAGTATGAATCGTAACATTTTTCGAACTTTTTAATCCTCCTGCATCAACAACAAATCAATTTCACCATCCTTATGATCACAATGAAATTGGGTCATTTGGCATATTCCAGATTTCTATCCTAAATATCATGTTGGGTCTGCATGTCGGTTGCATTTATACCTATTAGATTCCAGGAACCCAGTTATCTCAAAAGAGGTCATTGGCACATATCGGTACATAAACTGCTACGATCATGTAAGTCATAGCTTGGTAGGAATAGACAGTACCCCAAATATTGTGCATAAAAAAAGAGATGCATAAAGCACATAAACTATCACCAAAAAGTTGCAGAGCTAATCAGGTAAAGGAAATGATCATAGTAGAAGCTCAATAGATCAAAAGATCGCAAAGCAAATGCAGCTTGTTATACTCTACAGTTTAAGTCTATTTTAAAATTTTAGCAACTGTCATAATAACTACTCAAAATTTCTTGCCTCTTGCTAAAGTTATTTTCTTTGTACTAAGGTCCCAACTCTTTCAGATGATCTTTACTACAGATTTCTACATATTCCATAATAGATTGATTTTCACCTTTTTTATGAAAGGCAATAATATTAAGAACATGGAAGAACCCAAAACAATACATCTGAGAGTTCCACATTCTGCAAGGGGTGGAATGCAAGGAGGAACAATCAAACCACTACAAAAAAACCCAGAAACCAGAAAGAGTAAACAAAATGAAACAAAAGCATAGGACCAAAACACGAGCTAGACGGACATTAAGACTGCCAATAAGATCCAAACAACCAATCCACCGCTCACAACTATTATCTAATATGAACGGTAAAGTAATTTATGCTGCATTACTGTTCTTTTTTCATCTAAGAAAAAAATTATAATTGAATACAGTTGGAAGGTTTTTGCTATTCTCACCATCCTCGTTTTCCCAAAACCTCACCAGCCCATCACTTGAACCTGAAAAGAAATATGTTATACTTCAGAGGGTTGAAGTGTGGATACAAGTCATTGATGCTACCACTTGCAATATAGCAAAAACTAACCATAAATTGGTTAAAGGGATATAAATGAATAAGATTGAACAAACAAATTGGAGACACGAATTACAAACCAGTTATTACTCCTCGATCTGACTTTGAGTACTCTACACAAAGAACTGGGCCAGCATGGCAAGCCAATACAGCATCGCATGTTCCTCTAGAAATTGACCACATTCGGGCAGTCCAATCATCACTGCCAGTGATTACAGTGTCCCCAACCATTCTTATCGACCTGCAGAACAGTCACAAACTCATGGATCCAGTGACCATCAAAGCTCAACATATCAACCCTTTCATATGCTCAAGCTCACCTGATCCATTTGGAGTGTCCTAAAAGCTTGTGCATTTGTCGACCAGACCGGATGTCCCATATGTTTGCAACCCTGTTAACGGAAACTAACTCTAAGAACATATTTATATATGATACTGTAGGCACTCTAAATGAAGGTTCCATCTGAAGTTAGATTAGTACAAAATATCTAGGACTACATAAATAGCAAGGATTTACATACGCATCTCTCCCAGCGGCAGCCAGCACACCGGTAGAGTCATCATATTCCATGCAAAGGACAGCACTGGAGCAACGACCCACAGTAGCAACACAGGTATCGGTTCTTACATCCCACATTTTTACTGTTCCATCATATGCTGCAGTCAGCACACGCTCACCAGATAGCATGCGAGCACAGCTAACCTACAATGATGAATGATGGATTCATGAATGTTAGATTGATGACTACCACTCGAATTCAATAACAGCTATTACATGTTAAAATAGCTTATGAGAATTGTAGGATTATACAGACCGAATATGTACCTCGGAGAAAAAAGGAAAACCCCACTAGTTATGCAAGCAATGCAGTGTGCATAAGCATGTCTACATCGATGAAATCGACATAAGGTACAAGAAATGGCAATATAACTCCCAAACCTTGGTTCCTATGTCTTGGAAAACTGGTTCGTATTGTGTCCAGTCCAAACTAACTAAGACGGAGCAACTTTTATTTCTGGATTATAACTAGAGGCACACTGGATATTGATCCGTATCAAGTCCATTGATAGGTAATGAATTCATTGAGTGGGCAGGTGAAAGTTATTGTGAAATTATAAAATTACAATAAGATTATAGAGGTAAATATTCTTGTATTTATTGCTACAGCACTGTTCATTTTTTGTTTCTACTGCTTTTCTACTCGTCATTTACATAAAACAGGTGGTCAAATTTCCTCCTTTTTTGTATAAAAGTAACTTTTTTATGCGAGGCACTACTTTTTGTTAACATGCAGAAGATGGTTGTTTAATAGCAAGATGCAACTATGGTCTTTCCATATCAAGATGCAACTTGGATAGGATTATATAAACGTCATGGTGTTATTGTTATGAACCCAATCGATTGAACAATGGAAATGGAAACAAAATGATAAGGACACTGTTAAATGCTTCAATTAACAACGAAAACAAAGACAAACTAGCATTCAAGAGGCTAGAACTCTCCCATACAAAACCTACTAAATTTTCTGCATGCTTCACACTACCTGCAACCTCCCTATTTATACTAAAAATTATTCCAAGAAGTACCCAAATTACCCCTTCTTAACTATTCTAGAATATTACTTAGTAATAGGATTGGGCTCTAGATGGGTGCATGACATTATTTGTTATGAACCCAATCGATTGAACAATGGAAAGAAACCAAATGATAAGGACACTGTTAAATGCTTCAATTAACAACGGAAGCAAAGACAAACTAGCATTCGAGAGGCTAGAACTCTCCCATATAAAACCTACTATATTTTCTGCATGCTTCACACTACCTGCAACCTCCCTATTTATACGAAAAATTATTCCAAGTACCCAAATTAACCCTTCTTAACTATTCTAGAATATTACTTAGTAATGGGCTTGGACCTCTAGATGGGTGCATGACAGTTATTTGGTAACATTCCTGTCTCCTGAACAAAAAAACCGTATCAAAAGAAAAATTAGATAAATACGTCATATGACTACATTCTTTTCAATTCCAATACGTCGTAAAACAAATTGAGAAATGATCCCTAACATCAAGCTCTATCCAGAAGATGGATAGCTCTTAGAGGAGTCAACAATACAAAATACCGTTAGTCCTCACTGTCACTCGGCCAAATATTGCATTCTCTACCATTTTAATTAGCAGTTTATGCTTTAGCATTTCTACATAACCTAAGGTGTCTCAAGGGTGCTCCTAAAATAGGTCTTCTCTACATTCATCTAGGAGAGACAAATAGTTGGAGATTCAGATGACCCTCATGCTATATGTACCTATAGTTAAAAGATATCGTACAGGATATTCTGTCCTTTTCGGCATAAACTTAACATCCTGGAAAGCAAGCAAGATATAGATTTCTTGTCTAGTTCGAAATCTAAACACCGAGCAATTGCTCGGACAACCTGTTAATGGACATGCATTTTACATATAGCAAAAGAGTTGGGTGACTCTACTCATCAACTAACATAGCTCACTCAAGTTGAGCATCCAAAAAAGTATATGGTTGGAGTGGCTTCCCCTTCAAATGCATATGGAGTAACAAGATGGCATGATCTATGATTTGCATCAAAAAAATACTCGAGCCAAATATTGCATTCTCAACCAGTTTAATTTGCCAGTTTATGCTCTAGCATTTCTACATAACCTAAGGTGTCTCAAGGGTGCTCCTAAAATGGGTCTTCTCTAAAATGGGTTCCCCTTCAAAAAAATACTTGGCCAAATATTGCATTCTCAACCAGTTTAATTAGCCAGTCTATGCTTTAGCATTTCTACATAACCTATGGTGTCTCAGGGGTGCTCCTAAAATGGGTCTTCTCTACATTCATCAAGGAGACACAAATAGCTGGATATTCAGATGAATGGCATCCTACATGTCCCTATAGTTAAAGATCTTGTACAGGATATTATGTTCTTTTCGGCATAAACTTAACATCCTAGAAAGCAAGCAAGATATAGATTCCTTGTCTAGTTCGGAATCTAAACATCGAGCTATGGCTCGGATAACCTATGAATGGACATGCATTTTACATATAGCAAAAGAGTTGGGTGACTCTACTCATGAACTAACATAGCTCACTCAAGTTGAGCGTCCAGAAAAGTACATGGTTGGTGTGGGTTCCCCTTCAAAAAAAAATCTAAACATGCATATGAAAGGAGTAACAAGATGGCATGATGTATGATTCGCTGCAATCCCAGTGTCAACGGCTTATATTTGATTTATTCTTCATCATCCATTTTATTCCCCACATCAGTGAATCCATAGACTTAAACAATTTTGCGATCCAATTTTTCCGATTGATTATACTCTCGGAGAAAATTATAATCATATAGGATTCAAAATTATATCTGCAAGTCATCTATGTTTTGACAAATCTAATTGCGTTACAGATTTCTATATATCTTATGAATGAATTCTCGCCATATCTGTGCTATATGTGATTTCAAACCTATTAGTAGAACATCAAAGTTTTTTATGGTATTTGGTGAAATTGTAACCAACAACTATTGGAACAAAGCAAATTCTCATCATTCATATAAGCAATATTTTGGTTGTACACAACCATGCTTAGCTTTGTTTTAGACATTCATACCTAATTTAAACATTGTAGAAGTAGGCAAAGCAAACTTGTATTAATTCACTCAACGATTCATGATTCACATTCATGCAAGTAATATAATGACTCTTGATTTGATTCACAAACTAACAACTACAACTAAATCACAAGATAATTGATGGACCACCTCATTTAATGCTCTTCCATCATAAAATAAGTTTTTAATTATCTGCATCTTATATAACACACCATGACATCCTCACATCCAAATTTACTGTTATTTTAGGTCCAGTAATTATTCCATTGGTTCTTGCAGAGCCTCTATATCATGCTTTCCTCAGCATTGTAATATTGAGAGTGAAGGGAAAGAAAAAAATTAAAGAGCAGTGAAAACCTCAGCATCATGGCCCTTCAGCTCTTCTAGAAGCTGTGTTGTCTGTTTATCCCATACAAACACATAGTGATCATCAGATCCTGATACAATTTTTCCTCGATCAGAACTGATTGCCCTGACAGTCCTGCATACCATGAAAAATATAAAAACTTAGAGAAGCTTTTAGACCCATTGTAAGCTTATAGACCTCATTTGAGAAATTTTAGACTAGGAAAGCATTACCTTGTATGTCCCTTTAGAGTTGCCCTGAGTTCATTACCACGAAGACTTGGATCCCAAATCTTAACCTGCACTATGTTGATATTTGGGTCAAAGATTGAGCTATGTCATGCAACATGTATCTATATGTAGTCTAAACTCAATCGATGGAAGACGGCCTGACAACCAATTCTAGTCTGTGGCAAATACAGGCAGCTTACCGTGCAGTCTGTACTTCCACTTATAAAGAAGCCTGCATCTTCACGGTCACCTACCAGGTCCCAAACTTCTCTTTGTGTCACACAATGCAATGCAGTGATTGCACCATTATGGCCCCTAAGTGTCCGTATGCTAGATTGTAGTTTATGTTGCCCAGTAGCACCACTCTCACTTTTAGCTATTCTCATAAGAAAACAATAAGTAACAAATGCAGATTAAATCAGAATATTGGTGTAAGAGAATGTTATACACACCATGGTCAGACGTCCACTTACGGACACGAGTGAATGAGTTGGTCCTTAAAGTAGTATCCCTGCTAAACATACTCTGGACCCAGCTCCTACCAGAAGCCTCCGCAGGTTGTTGATTGTCGGTTGTAACATCTTGTGGGCGTGGGGAGGGCAATGATAAAGACGAGATACTTTGAGACTTGACTGAATAAATACCCCAATAACCAATACATAGTTGCTGGATATGTGACATATATCCCCTAAGCTTTATCTGGTTAATATTAAGGGATGACAGATTCAGCAAGATGTATGTAGGATTAAAGCACACATGTCAGAAACATCAAGCAATTAGCACACATGAATAACTGTCACATAGACAAGCAAAGTCACAAATTCCAAATGTCCTATTTCACGGAAAAATTTGCCAATTGCCTACATTAATGCTTGCCTATCAAATTACGCTAAAAATGATTATATAGTGGCTTAACAAAAGAGACATGTGGATTTGCTTTTGCAGGAGATTAGAATCTAGAATGGTTCCAGCAAGGTGACTATCACATCCAGCAGCACTGGAGAAGGGGTACGAAACAATTTTCTACCTGGAGCAACATACTGTATGCAGGGGTCTTAATGCAAAGTAGAATCACTCCAAAAACAATAATATATATCATTCAAAAAGAAGAAAAAAGGTTTGGGAAACCCGGCAAGATGCTTGAATTGGTTATCAATTAAGTATGGCATTTAAACTAAAAATATCCACCTGAAATGAACACAAATAGATCACTGAGAACATGGTTACATTTAACTTACAATATGACTGTAACCAATATTGTTCTTCCCTGCAATTGTTTCGATGATATACCATGAATCCGTGTCAGGAAGACCTAATCCAGCCTTCATAAGAATGAGGACTAAATCAGTAAAAGAGGATGAAGGGATAGAAAACTTGAGGAGAAGGAAGGAGAAAATAATACCATGTGAGTGGCCAAAATGATTAGCTGTGCAGTCACCAATGCTGCATAGTTAGTTGACCTGAAAATTCGTTAAACAATAATAAAGTTTACGATATTACTTTATTCAAGATCTAAAGGGGGAGCTTATGAGGCAGAAGCATTGATGTCCTCAGATAAGCTATCTTGTGACTTCTATAAATTTGAATCGATCTATTCAGCTTGTTTCCTTTCCTAGTCATTTCTATTTTCTACATGTAATATAACTTGTTTGTCAGGATCTGATTCAGTTAGATAAAGTCGAGGTCTAGAAACAGAAGTACTGAAAAGGAGGTCCAGAAACGAGTGACAAACATTACAAGCTACAGAATAACAATCATATCATGCAAATTACATTCTTCTCAAACACGTACGAAACCATATTAGAAAGAACTTTGCTTGTACAATGTTTGTAGTCTTTTAATAAGTTGTTTTGGTGTTTGGAGAACTATCTTGTACCAATTCTATTATGAAGCATGGGTTTTAGCGTTACTAGAATACCATTTATGCAAGAAATAAATCATTTTTCAGAAAAAACTGCAATGCAGAATCAACATATAGCTACTTACTTGTTTGAAAAACATTCCATTAGATACTCAAAGTATACGTCCCAGAAGCTGCAATAAGATTCATAGATATTAAAACAGTGATACATAAAAGAAACAGCAATTTAAAATTTTAGCATATAGAGATATAGAGTTACTTAACTTGAACTACACAGTTCACATGAACAAAGTAAATGCTTAGGTGCTTAGAACCAATAACATCAAAGTAAAAAATCATTACCTCGGTTGTACATGCTGAAAGCAATAAAATGGAAGACAAATCAATTGTTGAATGAGATCACAACTAATTTTTGACACACATTTTGTGTCGTAGATACTATCAGTCACCTTATTTTGCTTCAAGTTACATTCTTGATCTCATAGTATTTGACAAAAATACGACACATGAGAACTGTTGCAGTATGAAAAACTTCTGTGACCCTTTTTTCACAATTATGTCCAATGGGGTCACATGACATTGCTTAGCGTCGTCATTTTAGCCTCACGGATTAGAGATTTTTAAACAAGATCATACCACATTATTGACTCGTGTTTAGAGATTTTTAAACAACGAAATTAGGCCATACATAATGAAGCTAACTTATGCAAGTCTCCAAAATTACATTCTGCATAAACAAATGGTACATATTTGCATTAAATCCTAGACAGAAGACAAGTTAAGATCCAAGAAGAACCCTCATAAGATAGAAGCCCAACAAAGATCATTCATCATAGAAAACTAAGTAAAAAAGAAGTTTACAAGTGGGTCTTTGATGTCATTACAGATGAATGAGCGCGGTGCACGGATTCAATAAGCTAATATTTACATGGTGGCCACCTCACGTGCAAATGCCACTGCTACACCAATAGCCCTGTTTACTTATTTTCATTTTTTTTACTTTTCTGCTCTCTTATATTGATTGTGTAACATTCTCGTAGGCACCACGCAACCATGATTCTTCCATAAAGGAAAAGATGACTCAATTATGATTTATTTTGTGACAGTCATACATGCTAGTTGACTATGGTTCTTCCATATCTGATAGGAATTGCAGAAGAACCCTCATAAGATAGAAGCGCAACGAAGATCATTCATTATAGACGACTAAGTAAAAAAAGGTTTTCGAATGGATCTTTGATCTCATTACAGATGAATGAGCACGGTGCACAGATTAAGTAAGCTAATATTTACATGGTGGCTACCTCACATGCAAATGCCACTGCTATACCAATAGCCCTGTTTACTTATTTTCATTTTTACTACTTTTCTGCTCTCTTATATTGATTGTGTAACATTCTCATAGGCACCACTCAACCATGATTCTTCCATAAAGAGAAAGATGACTCAATTATGATTTATTCTGTGACATTCATACATGCTAGTTGACTATGGTTCTTCTGTCTCTGATAGGAATTGCAGGTTTAAGAAAGTTGTAAATACATTTCTCTTTCCTCTTTTAGAAGCTGCTTATTGCATAAAAACCACACACACACACAAATAATTGACTGTTAATTATTATAAACACGAGTAGGTCCAAGATGCACATCAAGTTCAGTAAAAACATACCGTAACTCCTCCCAGATGGAAAGAGAACGTAGATGTCGCTGAACAAAATCAGAAACATGGTTCCTATCTTTCTTGTACATTTCAGCTGAAACCTCAAGGGCATCTCTAATAGTTGCTATATCATTCCGCGATGTAGCACGAGTGATTGCCGTTTTTAGCTGTGTTAGATAAAAGGATGAAAAACTGAGAAATTTTCTCCATCATATAATCAAGGGTAGAACCGGAAAGTAGAATTTTATTTTTGAAACTGGACACTTATTTTGGGACAAACTAAAACAGAAATGTGGACACTTATTTTGAGACAAAACTAAAATAGAAATGTAGACACTTATTTTGGGACGGGGGAGTACATTTTTAATTTATGAACTAATATACTGCTAAACACCTATAGACTAAACTCGACTTATATACGATAACACCACAAAAACTCCTCAAGAATGGAGCATGATATAACATGTCAAACTTGCCATAAATAGGATTCCCTTTGAAATTCTCAAGAGGCTCAAGAACAATGATGTGAAACTGGAATAAAGAAAAAGAGGGGCCTCTAGAAGCAAGAAGCACAATATATTTCATGTGCTAAAAAACATATGCATCTACTCAATCACATATGCTAAAAAGGATCATCTACTATATATTTCATTAGCTAAAAAAACATATACATATACCATATATTTCATGTGCTAAAAGATCAGTCCACCTCCATACATTTTCATGTGCTAAAACACATGATTTTTACAAAGTTGCATAATTTTTCAAATACATCCACTCAATCACATATGGAACCATCCAAATCCAGAACCAAGTGTCCAGCATACTTGATTCTCTATATTAACGTGTACACAATGAATCAAATAAGCAACAGTCATAATGCTGACAAAATAATTCTTCACAAAAGCACTAATTCAAAGAAGAAGATGCACTTAAGCTATATGTATGTGTTATCTATCCCTTATGATTTCATTGGACTCGTTAATTTTGAAGAATTAATTCGCAAACACTCCCTAAGAGAACAACAGAATCTGAGTGAGAAAGAATATGGTACATTAAAAAATACAGCAGGCCCAAAAAAAGATACTGCTGCCACTAGACCCAACCAACATACAACTAAGACATCTAACAAGCTGTAATTTATACAAGGAAATGTAATAATGGGAATGCCAAATGAGAACTTTAATCATGATCAATAACGAGAATGCCAAATGAGAAACATCACCATGGCTCTAACATCAGATGATATAAAATATTTTTGAACTAATTAAAGCTATAACATGTTAATATTCCATTTACATAGGGAATCACTGTGGTATCAAATAAAATAAGTCTAAGTATTAAGTTTAGGCTTGGAACAGCTACAGTATAAATATCGTCACTCTTCAATAGAAGCCATTCCAGGACAACAGATTAGGTGACTTTTACCATCATGCCAAAGCACACCCAACAAAAAGAGTGATAAAAAATAACTACAGTATGCATAAAATAATTTCTCAACCAAGGAATAGCATAGAGCATTGACATACCAGTTCTTTCACTGCAATGAACTGCTCTTCAGTCAATTGACCTTGCCAACCCTGAGACCACAAAGAATATGTAAGTTCCCAATCACGATAACTTCTATCATCAGCTTATGGTTCACATTGTTGCATACCGAGTGAATATGTTCCCTTATACATTCAACAAAGCCACTACCACCAATTCCCTCTGCATCAATTTCTATCAAAGCTGCAAAGATTATATGGTGTCAAAGCTAAAACCAATAAGCATTATTTCCTAACATACACACTAAAATCCCTTCAAAGAATAGAAAAATAGAACTCGTATAAAGTTTCTATTCAAGCTCATGAGCATACCAAGGATTGTTCCATATTCAAATGATGAAAGAGGATCATCAGTCGCTCCCAATTTCAAAAGACGTAACCATAGACCCTGATTCAGCAATAACAAAAACCATTGATTATCAAATCGGGAACATTATACAAGATCGACACAACATTTAGATGGTAAGATTGTAAGAATATAAAATTGACTATTTCCAGAAAAACATAAAACATAAAATAAATCTAGCAGTTATGGTCATGTGAAGAGCATTAAAAAGAGTATATATGCATGCATCTATGGTGAAATATAACGCTGTTCCAGAAGACCACGATAGCAACCTATCGTTTGCTTACCAGTCAACATTAGGTGCAAATGTGCAAAGTGAAAATGAGAATACAAAACAAGTTTATAGGTTTATAATTTAAGTGCCCAGATAATTTGGAAAGATAACATTATAGTGGTTTCATGTAAATGATGTTTCCTGCATATTATTTTAGAGAATGGTATATATAATAATGGAGAAATACAAGATGACACTCCCTAATTCAAGGACTTAATTTTCCATGTATAAACTTGGACCAGATAACAATATGGTCATTCCTCCATCACGCCACAACTCATGAGGTCTTACGATTTTCATCTGGTTCCTTAGTGAAATTCTGAATCAGGAAAATCTTGGGTGACTAAAGTACCCTGTTTCACTTTTATGCTTAGATTTTTCATTAGTTATGATCTTAGCAAACCAAATATACATACATGAGAGTTATAACAAATAAGTACTATTTTCCTCCTCTAGTTTCCAGCACCACCAAACTCCATCACACCAGAAATACAACTCCCAAATCTATTCCAAACTCCTAATAACCATAAGATTAGGAAATTTTCATGCACATGAAGTCAGAAAGGTGGCGAGAAAGAGAGAGACAAAGACAGTAGGTTAAATTCTATTGTTATGCACATGAAGTAGCACATAAACTATGTGCACATGCGAGTGTGCGGGTGTGAGAGAGACAGTGCAAGAGAAAGAGAGCATAATAAACATAAAGAGACAAAGAAGACAGAGAAGAAAACTGTCATGTCCAAGTGCTAGAAGCATGCATACATTCAACAACATGCATGCATGGATGTGTATGTATGTACTTCCTTACATGCATGCATGCATATTCATTCACATACATACAAACGTGTGTGTGCTCGTATAATGGAGAGAGGGAGGATGCGGTGTTATAAAGAATCATGATCTATAATTACAGATGATGATAGAAATGATCAAATGAATTTTCTTGGGTGTATCAACTGGACATGAAAGATTCTCCCTGAAGGGAAACCTATGAACAGACCCTGTCCTCACCTGCAGCTTCACTTTAATATCCAAGACCATGCGCTCCCGTTCAGCCTGTAAGTTACAGATATTTAAACTGAATCAAAACATCGAATACTAGAATTACCAGGGGATGACCTGTGATCAAGGGAACTTACAGCCCTCTCTCTAGGACTTAGACTTTCTCCTTTGGACTCTCCATCCAACATTGAAGGTGAACTGGTATATAACAGCATATAAAAAGTTAGCAACAGAGGTCTCTGCTTTATATACATTCTCACTGAAGTATAAAACTTTCACCTAGGATTATGCTTTATGGCATATTCAAGAGCTCCACTAGCTGCTGACAGTATCTGCTTCCTTTTTTCCTCCTGCTCTTCTGATCTATAGTTGGAAGGGAACCTGTCATAAGTATATCTAGTACCAGATCCTGATGCATAGAACAAAATTTATTAGCATAGTTGCAACATAAACTAAGAAAGCATGATTCAGTTTGGTGATAGTGAACTACGATATAAAGTACAAAGACAGCCACGGTGTGCTGACAATGAAGATGATATAAAAAGTAAATATAAAAGCCAACACTCCTTAAGATTTGGTAGGATGCAAATGAATTGTGTCTAAATCCAACGTGGAACAGATACTAGATGAGGGACAACTCAAAAAACTCCCCCATATATCGTGACTTGCATGATTCACCACCAGTTCCCCTCAATCCTGATTGTACCCACGAGGTGACCATCGTGCTAAAGGGAGCAGCTACTTGAGAGCACCAAGTTACTTGGAGTATAGAAGTGTCATGAAGTGTTACCAAGCATTGTGTATTACTAAACTTGGACATGAATATGCAGAATAATAGTGGTATGTGGGCCAAGGCTAATGCTCAAATCTTGTCTAACCATATCTTCTATACTCATCCTGAAGATAATATATAGATATAAACTGACAAACAAAACATGAACACACAGTTTTGAAACAAAATATACAGATGGAGAATGAAACAGAAAATTACATGTGTGATGTGTGAAAAATCGAAACAAAATAAATATCAGAGCATTTCACTGAATCTGGAGAGGCACATATGCAGTGATGTATTCCAAGAACAAACAAGTCAATATAAGACCCTGACAAACAGATCATCTTACTAGAGAGAGTGGAGATAAGTCATTAATTTGTAACAGCAGCATCCCACTAAAACTAAAAGGCAAATTCTACAGGTAGCAATCGGACCAACTATGTTGTAATGTTGTACAAGTCAGAGCGTTGGGCAACAAAGAAGGCCCATGAAAGGAAGTTGGGAGTATAAGGATGCTTAGGTGGACCTCTGGTCGAACAATGTTTGATAGAGTACTGAAGGCATCTCCGGGGAAGAGTTGAGAGTTCCTATCACAGATAAATTGAGAGAACGAAGATTGTTGTGGTTTGGGCATGTTCGTAGAAAGGGTGACAGTCGTGGGGGCAGGGAGGAGGGGTACCCCAAGGAGGATGTGGGATGAGTAACTAAGTATAGATACGGGTGCCTTAGACATTTCGATGGACCTCACCTCCGATAGGAGTTCTTAAAGACATAAGATTAGGGTAGTGGACTAGGGGCAGAGACCTATGGCTGGTCTATATGAGAGGAAGGAAGCTCGAGAGGTTAAGGATGGGGGGAGGGATCTAGAGTACCTGAGTAAAAAGATAGACTAGGGGATTGTGTCATTGTCTTCCCTTCGCTACTTACGATTATATGGTAGTCGTCTTTTCATTTTCTCCTCTAGCCTTGATCTTCTTTCCTTTTTCCAATTCTTTCCTTATTTTCATTTGCATGTCTACCCTTAATCTTCTTTCCTTTGCAGCCTTTTTGTCCATGCTCTGTTTTTCACACACTCTTTTGCAAGCCGGGGGTCTTCACGGAGAACAGTCCTCTGGGCTAGAGAAAAGGATTGCGTACCACCCCCCCCCCCAGGGGGAGGACGAACCCACCTCCAGGTGGACATACTGGCTCCTTTGGTTTGGTTTTAGGCTTTTAGCAGCATGGGACGCACAAACTTGTCGGATTTGGAAGATGGCGCTGCTGACAGCATGGGGCTACTGTGGTTGGTCTTGGGAGCCTAGTATTTGTACTAAGAGCCATGAGCTCTGATAAACATGAAAAACATAATAGGTTCAGAAAGAATAATGCATTGTCACGGAAGAAAATAGATAGGTTTACACAAGTTGGACCTGTGAACCGAAAGTACTAGTATTAATAGGACTAACTTCCATCGTTCTGCTAATCAAGTGAACAGCAACACGAGATGTACCTGATATTCCCAGACCAGGGTCTGATATAGTTATAATCTCAGGCTCTGCTGAGGCTGAGGGCAAAATAGAAAGAGGATCTTGACCTCGCCCAATTGCATCTTGCAACTTATCAAGAAGATTACTACCGTTTTCACTAGAACCTATACCTCTTTCTAAATAATCCAAGAATCCTTGAGATTCCAGAAACTGAGTTACCTGTAAAATGGCAAAAGAAAGTATAAAAACAAAATATAGTAAGATTGCATTTAGTGGGTTGCAGAAGCCAAAAATAGGAATGTACAGATAAAATATAAAGCACTTCAATTACAAAACAAATTATCCACTTATATAATCATGTGGATTGGTTGGTAATTCTAATAAGTAAAATTTAAACCATCATGTCAAGTCTGTTACCATCTCATCTATTGGTTGGTGAGTTGCCCGCGAACGCTTCTTCAGAAATGCTTGAGTGTTGAACACTTGATTTGCAGTATTTTCCTGGAAATAGGATATGATATAGTATTTGTTCCATATTTATAAAGCACATGCAGTGTTTAAACTAAAATAAGGTTATATTCCTTACTATGAAGTTGCGGTAGCCTCCCAAGATTGAAGCAAAGAACTTGAGAAAAATGATTCTGAAATACAAGGAAAAAATTTTCAAAGGGTCAGCATCTATTAGATCAAAATGCAATTCTATTAATTAAAAATAGCCTGCTTTACCATACTACACACTCAATAACTTAACAAGCATGAGCAATACACTGTACCTAAGCAAGTTATTGAGCAAGCAACTAGTAAAAGTCATAACCTTGAAAGCAACACCATTTTGCTAATTGCATTAAGAAAGATATTGCAGCATAATAAGGTCAGAGATGAAGAATATGTACTATCCAATAAACTACTGCCTAAAACCCAAGAACAGTTACAGATTATCGCTATATATTCCAGTTTGTTCAGGGGATGAAGTGATCCTAGCTCAATTGTTAGATTGCATAGCTAATTTTGTGTATGGTATAATTGAATCAATGCCACAATGGAATGAATCATTCTGAAGGAGTGGAAAGATATTCTTTGGTTACACACTTGGAATGGAATGGATCAGTACACAATTGGAATGGAATGGAATGCTGCCATCAGACCCCTCTTTTCCATTTCTTTGTGAAGGGTTTTTCCATTACATCCAGTAAAGGAATGACTTAATAAATATACCCATTTTAAAACATGCTAACCATTCCTAAGATTCGACAACCAATTTGATTTAGTTTCATGTCTATGGTAACAAGTTGTATAAGCAATATTTTTGTATTGCTTTTTCTATGTGTGTGAAATTGAAGTTGAACTTTTTTCTGTGACCTCTGGTACTTGATCTCTTCATTCATGAAAATTCTTTTTTATCTTCAAACCTCAACTGTCATGAAAGAGTTCATTTTTATATTCCAAGCCAGAAAGTATATTGCTAGAATCTAACATGATATAAATTATTTGGCTTCTTTAAGATACTGTCATAATCTTTGTTAGGCACCCACCTACCAGCCCAACCCCACCGGAAGTATTCTAGAAGGAGTAATTCGGGGTTCTTTTGTTTTGGAATTGGTCCTTGGGCCTAACGTCCACCCAATATCTCCGTTAACTACGAGGGCAAATCTGTCCTTTTGCCATTTTACTCAATTCTGACAATTTTTCTATTTTTTTCCTTCTGTATTCATCTTCTCCACCTTTAGCCATCAAGAACAATTGCATGAATATCAAGAACATAAACCACCACAAATTTATTAAAAAACTATGATACAAAACCCATTAACATAAATCAAAACTTTAAATTTAAATAAGAAAACAAAAAAAAACCTAAAAGCGATAGAACCGTGATATGGGTTTTGTTTTTCACATGAAAAATAGAAATGTCTGTCAAGCTAAAGCTGGGTTGTGTTCTTCAAGTGAACAAAAGAAATGGGTTTTGTTCTTCACCGCAAAGGGAGCTCTCTGGCGAAGGTACAGTGGTCATTGAGTAAAGGCATCCTCCGCTACCTCCTCCATTGCCGGCGGCTATCTTCTCTCTTCCATTGCCGGCAGCCTCCTCCAGTTATTGGAATCTGAAACAAGATTTTATCCAAAGAATGTCATTCCTGAAAGAAGCCTCCACCCTGCCTTCGATGGCATACACTTTGTACCATAAGACCCATTAAATCTCGTTATGATTCAAACGAACACAATGTAACACTGATTTATGGAATGGTTTGACTTCTGAAACCGGAGACAAGCGTGTAACTGATGATAGACGAAAATTGGTTGCTGCCGCCTGCCAGCAAAAACCACCAGCAGTGGTTGTCCAGTTCTTCGCCCTGGTAGGCCAGGTCCTCTCAACAACCCTTCATTGACCTGGTCAACAGAGAAAACCCTATTTTGCCGTTTCACGTCTGGTCTTTGCATTCTATCCACCTACCTTCGAACTCAGTTCCTCTCGCTGCCGTCATTCACATAGTTATTCCAGGCCTGTTTGGGCATACAGTTCCCCCGGAAGATCAAGTTGATGAGCACGATTCACCCTAGTAGACACCGAGAAATTCCCCAGTTGGAAAGATGAGAGTCCCATTCTTGTCTCGACCAAGCAACGAAGAAGCGTAGCAGATGAGATTGGACCTATATATATCCTCTGCTCCACCGAGAGCCTGACCCCTTCTTCTATCTTATCTACTGCCTTGCTCCTTGGCTCCATAATGCTACAGCCGCTCGCTGTAATAGCTTAGAATAGATGACGACCCAGTTCCCGTTCTTTTCCGGTGCACTCGCTTTATATCTCTGACACACAAGGAACTACTACTAAAAACCTACTTTTTTTTCTTTTTGGACAAACGATTATGGAATGGTTTGACTTTGAACCAACAGTTCCCCAACCTGTAACATTTTTTAAGATGGGCAGGATAGGATTTGACCAAAAAGTTTTTTATGATTTAGGATTTTATTAGGGTTTTCGATTTAGGTTTTAGAGTTTGTTCCTGATGGTTAAGGTCAAGAAGATTAATATTCAGGAAAAGGAAAAAGAATATTTTTAAAAAATGTTGAAATAGAAGAAAATGGCAAAACACAGATTTGCCTCGTAGTTAACGGAGATGGTGGACGGACATTAGGCTGAGGGACCAATTCTAACACAAACTGCAATCCACAAGGCTTTTCTTGTGATAAATGAAGTTCAAGGACCAAAACCATAGTAACCCCTAAACCACAGTGACCAAATCCATAATTTACTCTTACATAAATATTCAGAATTATGAAAGCTGTGACCACTGGGCAAGTTATCCAGTAGTATTTAACATAAAATTTCGAGCACATATAACCTTTTGCATGTAAAAGGAGATTTTCACCTTTTGTTACTTTACTTCACCAAAACCTGCATCCAAGACATGCTAAAACTCTGGCCATATTACACAATATAATGTGTGGAATCTTGATAATGCAATCTTCATTCTAATCTACCTAAGGCAGTCTAATTAAAACTAAAGAATAGAAAAAAGAATTGAATATACTGACAAAACAGTTTCAGAACAGCAGTTTTAGATAAGAAAGACAGCATTTAATGAGTTTCATCGGATTTTATGTATTACCTGAGCTGAACATCATTCTCTGGTGACCAAGCCTTTCTATTAAATCTTGCATATTGCTCATACGACTCAAGATCAGACTTCAGTGAGTCTATCCAAACAACATTAGGATGCAATAACTTCAGAATATCGCTACGTAAAGAACTCATTTCTGGCTCTGGGATGGGAGGAATTTCCTCGTTGGTGGTGATGCAATTATGTTCAAGATCAACAACCACTACCTACAAAATATAGTTAGCAAAACATCTGATGTTGAATTAACAAATGATATGAGTAGATTGACATGCATCATTGTCTTATCGAAGTGGCACGCGGCATTTGAAACTATAGCATTGAGAATTTGTGACCATGAGGAGTTATTAGCGACTAGAAACTCATGGAAGGCCTAAGGAAAAGAATACTTCCAACCTCAAACAGCAACCACTTTTGTAATGGAAAAAATTCAAATTGCAGGAGAAGCAAGAGCACCCAACACAGTTTTATCATGTTGATAAGCAATGAAAAAATAAGACAAGTGTTAACAGTGATGTAATTCAATCATGCAGCTAAATTTAAGAACTTACACCATCCATTGACAGACCAGTAGTATCAACACCTGAATGAAGTCCCATCATATACGGTGTAGGAGCATCAATATAGTCTACTCCACTGAAAAATAGCAACGGAATGTAGACATGCTTCAGCACACAAACAAACAACCATCAGATAGCAATACAACGGAAGATCACATGATTGCAGTGGCATGCAAAGATTATGTGAAACATTATGTGCAACCTCCATGAAAGATTAGCTTATTAGTTCAGTCTCACAGACATTGAGATATCCGATTCTGACATTCAAGCAAAAGTTTACCTGCCAACGGAACGGGTAGATCAAATGGCATATAGCTTCGGAAGCAAGTGTTAATAGAGAGTATCTACATAAAAACAAATAATTCAAGAATTAATACATGCATTTAAAATCATAAAGTAACCAATGGTTGACACAGACACTGCCATATTTTTGCAGTAATTCACAATTATTTGCAGAATTATACTCACTGAACTGTAATAATTGTCTTTCACTTGACTTATACCACTATTAAATGACAAATACCAGAAAACACCATGACTACATGAGCCTCGTATATTGTGTTACAGATCTATTTAAGTCATCTACAGATTACTTTAGTCTCTACAGTTAGTTGCAATTGTGCAAATATCACTATCCAAGCTCAATATGGGATGCTCAAATTTTCACATTTTTACTAATCATTGTTTAATATCCTATGCAACTGATATCCTACAAATGTAGAATCCTTTCTACAGCCTTAGCTCCTCACATTCCTAAACTCACACCTATGATCTACTGAGAATACATATTGAATGACAGAAAATTGATCATCAGTTAAGAAAAATGGATTGCAGGGCCTTGCATGGTGCCATCGTGACCAAGAATATGGTGTTAACTTTATATGTGAAAGAAAAATAAATAGTAGAGACCAAAGAAACTCAGAACTTTGATTAGTTCATGTATCTTAAGTGAAAGAGATACTTGTTTGATCGAAGCAAAACCCTCCTCTCGATCAACACAGCTGTAAACAGTTTAATGAAATTGTCGACATCCAGGCACTGCACCAGCGGTTGAAAAGATATCTGCTCAAGTAAATAGGCAACAATTATCAAGTGTAACAGCCAATGTCATAACAAGTAATTACATCAACGATCATTGTCACGATAATTTCATGCACGTACATCAGCGTGAGGAAGCCCATCCTTTGGTGGAAAGTCAACCGAAAGCAAGCTATTCTCAATTGCAAAGAGAACCCGTTCTTTTCCAGGAGTAGGCAAAGGCACTTTGGACACAGTATATGCGATAGCATCCCATAATGGCTTGCTGCAATGGTTTCAGAGCTGAATACATTATATAGAATAAAGGAATAATATGGGCTTTCCCATGACCTAGAAGAATAAACAATTGTTTATGAAAGAACTAAATACTAGGACTTTGAAAAGATACCAAGATAATTCTTTGTGATCAAGAATTACATATTTAGAACACCAGAAATTGATATAATGTAAATAATTGTCTTTGGGAAGTCTTTGCCTAGCCTTCATTAGTATCTAATGAATGATGAACCTGTGTGTCCATCAGCAGGTAAGCATCTATGATTAGGCAAAAACTGATGATAGATATGTGCATAACAAGTAGAAGATTTGATTTGTGCAAACAACTAAGGAGAATCTTACCTACTTCCATTTGAGGAAAAGCAAAGTAGATATATTTCCTCTAGTACTTCCCGAAGGATGTGAAAACTGGGAGCGCGTGAAACCAGACATATACATTTGTCAGCAAATGAATTTGCCGGAATGTGATAAGCTTCAGCAATATCCTCACAAACAGGATCACGAAAAGCAATGCAACTGACATAAATCTTAGAACCATCACCCTCTGCAGCAAATTACATCAAAACATAATAAAAGATTAGTAAGTGCTTCCTACACTGCTCCAACTACATAACCAAGACAATGGTGAGGATAGAACAATCATGTCATGTACAGGCACCATAGAAACGAGAAAGGGAAATAAACATGCGGATCCACCTGTCATTTTCGGTGTAGACAACATTATACACTGAATAGAATAGATCTGCAGGTCTAAAAGAGATTATCATAAGAAACACGACATCTACAATACAACCAAAGAACAAACCTTTATCCTACTCATTAGAAGTACTCAAATGTCAAAAGCTATAGTAAATTACGAAGATGTGAGCCAATCTTAGGGATCTAGAAAGGAAATAACAATGTCGAAGATAAGTATTCAAAAACATGAATAGCATCCTTCCATGCTTCTGGTTTAACGCCAAGTCCTTTGGTATATTTGGATCACATCTCTCTCTTTTCCACCTCCCACCTATTGATCTCAGCCAAACCCCAGGCCCCATCTCCCCAAACTTCAATTGACCATACTGCCCTGAGCTTTTCCAGCATATCTTCATTTCAAATTCATCAAGCTTAGTGTGGCCCAATGATGCGTAGGTGGATGGGTAAAAAGAGGGATAAGACTAGGGTGAGATTAACAATCTAATTAGATCAAGGATAAAGTACTTAAACACCACCAAGATTAATCAAATTGGCGAAGGTTAATGTTACTAGTGATAAAGCAACAGCACCACACTAGCAACAATCAAGAATCGACTCCTTTTGTGTATGAACACTCAAAACAGCTTCACAAGCTATTATAAACTCATTATTCAAAAAAAAAAAAGTTGCCTTCCAGCTACAACTTGGAACCCCATATATAGGCTGGAAGATAAACCTAACTCTTGAAAAAACGAAAAGACTAAAGAAAGACCAAAAGTTGGAAAGCAATTAAAAGACTATTAATGAAGCGTCAATGAGAAAGAATCTTAATCTCCTTTGGGCTGCCAGAAAATTATACTCCCTTTAATTGTTTCGAACCCAAAATAAGAGTCTGAATCAAACCCAAGGTGAGCCGGAGACATAAAATGGGTTGGTGTTCTACTTGCTGAAAATAACATGGATGCCTCTACATCAACCTCCTCTGGTTAGGAAGGGTTTGCCCTCAAATCTTCCAATGGACCATCTTCAAGATAAGAAGAAAGATCTCCAACATTGAAAGTTGCTGATATGTTTGTATTCCCAGGTAACTCTAGTTTGTAGGCATTATCTCCAATCCTTGTCAACACCTTATATGGTCCATCTCCTCTTGCCATTAGCTTGTTCTTCCTTTTTAAAGGAAATCTTTCCTTCCTTAAGTTCAACTACACGAGATCTCCAGGTTCAAAGAGAGCCTTCTTGCGATGCTTGTTGGCCTTTTTCTTGTACAAGTCGTTGACATGTTCAATCTTTGCTGACTTGTTCATGAATCTTTTGCATTTCTTTGGCTCGAGTTGATGCCTCAAAGTGAACTTCACTACCTTTAGGCAGTTGTATCAGATCAATAAGGGTGAGAGGATTCACTCCATAGTTCACTTCAAATGGTGTGCATCCAATAGCATAAGTTGGAGATCTAAGAAAAACTCAGTAAAAGAAAGTTTAACATCCCAATCTTTCAAGGACTTGCTCACCATACTTCTTAGCAAGGTTGTGAGTGTTCGATAGTTACCTCCATCTGTCCATCCATTTGCGGATGGTAGGCAGTGCTGAACAATAACTTGGTGCCTAATAACTTCCACAATGATTTCCAAAAGTATTTAACGTTCACCTGGTAGCCTAAACGTAGATCAACCCAAATAGCCTAGTCATAACACAGCTAAACTCATTTAATTCTTTCAATAGTGTGTGTTCTTCATCCAGTAATGCCTCTTCACCTCTTGGATTTGGAAGTGTACTTTCCTTGAATCCATATTCATCCCCACATCTATTCCCCACTCAATAAAATTCTCATTTATCATTGTGGTTCCGACAAATACCACATTTTTTCCTTGGATATCAGTCCCCTCAAAGACAGTTTTAGTAATTCTAATCTCGATTTCATTCTCCCCATCCATGAAATCCTGCTTGATCGCAAGGGATGAATTAATTATCTCAATTAGGGCCCTCATATCAACATGGGATTTTTCTCCAACCAGAATATCCCCAAACTCCACAATATCACCCGGAACAAGTGCCTCCTAGAATTGATGATATGAAGAAGCAGAGCAATCTCCAGCCTCTTCAATACCCATTGAGTAGAAGATTTTATCAAGTATATTGATGTAACATACGATATAAACCATAAACTTTGGATGGACATTTGCAGGAACTAGACCAAAAAGGTCTGAATCTCGATTTGAATGCAACACCTCACAAACTTTGACGAATAGACTAGACACTGTTAATATCCCCACTACCTTTGACAAAGGATCCAAATAGTTATAAAATGATTTCTGCCTACTTCTGCAATTCGATTCACTGATAAAGTCATGGATATAAATCTCCTCTCATTTAACCTTTCTCCTGTCATAATACCCCTCAAATCAACGACTAATTGCCCCTTTAGGATCGATTTAACATTTTTTACAAAAGAAACAAAATATGGAAGCAAAGTGAGAAGTCGTGCACAGAAAAAGGGGTTGATGTTTTAACGCAACTGGGATTAGGCGGGATTGGCCTGTCACATAGGCCATATAGAGATTGGGCCAAACCTCATGCCAGTTTACCTGTTGTAGTCTATGAATTTTCCATCGACGAGACCGTCGAAGTTGTCGTACTTCTCTCAGTCGAACTCGGGATTGAGGATCCTTTGTGTAAATCCCCAAAATTTCTAAAACACTAAATCGGGTGCCGTTACTTTAAAATTACAACAACTAAGTCTTGAATATGAACTTGAAATTTAATTTTATTTACAACTTAGCTTACAATTACATCGGAGATCAAATACTAGTGGAAACGTAACTCAATAGCTTATAATACAACAAAATTTGCTATTGATTAGAACAATACTACTTTATGCAGATCCTCTTTACTCCTTCCCTGAGATATATACATGAGATATATAAGCTAAAAAGTTTAGTGAGTAGTTATGGTTTCATGAATAAACAATTTTCATGATGTTTAACATTTTGTGAATAGTAATTCACTAAATCTCTTGATCATACACAAAAATAATCTTTTTATCATGCATAAAAATTCTTTTGAGATCTCACTTGAACCGTGTAAGTATGCCATACTTGTCTTGAGGTTTGCTAACTCCGGGTCCATTAAAGGTTTCCCCACAAGGTCCGTTTGCAAGACTTCCCTTTTTATAATATCCCGTACGTTGGATATTTATGGTCATACTTGACATGTAAAAACTTTCATGCCTTGTGTAACACATACTTGTATCATAACATGCAAACGCTTTCATGCCTCGGTGTAAAACACATACTTGTATCAAAACATGTCATCATGCATGTCTTGTATAACATCGTCATCTAAAGCAAACATGCCAAAATATCTTATAATGCATATAGCATGTATGTACCTCATAAATCTCATAAGTACTCACCTTGACTATGTTTAACTTTTCCTTAATTTCTTTCTTCAAGCTTGATTAGTATAAATAGAGAGATTTCCTATTTTTGGTATGGAATTATAGGTAACACTTCAACCACTATTTATAGGTAAATTCATTGCATTAGCTACTTGTCTTCTTGCTCCTAAAATTATACTCTTATGATAGTTTAACACCTCATTTTTTAGGATAAGAGAATCTTGACACCTCATGCTTAATATAAAAGAATCTTGACATATCATGCTTAATATAAAGGAATCTTCACACACCATGCTACTAGCTTTTATTTGTCCTGCTTCTAGCTCTTGCTTGTCATAATGAATTTTTGCCAACAAATGCTTCTAGCCTTGACAACTCATAACTAGCTTGTTTTGTCATGCTTACTAGACTTGCTTAGTCATCAAATAGCTTCCCAACACATACTTCTAGCCCTTACAACTCATCACTTCATGTTTGATTTCTCATGCTTTGCCTTGTAAGCTACTTGTAAGTTACTTGCGTTGTAAATATGATAGCTTAATAAATGCTACAGTTGTTGGACTCTTTTTTAAGAGTACTTCATTTAGTTCTAAAATCTTGTATTTAAAGCTTAAACATTAAGATTTAGCAAATAAAGAAACTAGGGTGTTACACCTTGCACGAAAATGTTTTTACTTTTCTGGGCAGAATCAAGATTGTGGAAGAACCCTCCGGTGAATTAGCCTGAAGCGCTTGGTAGTACCCATCTGGTGAGTCTGTATCTAGATTTGGACGCGAGTCTGAATCTTCTTCACTTCTGCCAAAAAATGGAGCCCTTGGAGTTTCAAATTTTAGGATTCTTGATTCATCTCCCAAGAGATTTGTGGTTATGTGATAAGATTTCAATTAATGATGCATCATAAACATCGATTCATTGACTTCAACTATTAGGGCTTGATTATCGATCTCCTCCAACTAAGATAAGTCTCTTATTTCTTTCTCTAAATCTCTTTCCCTAGTTGTCTTCTCCTTTCCCCTGTTCTTCACAATCTTCCCTCTATTCTTTCTTCACGATCAACAGATCTTCTTTTAAGGAACTCAAATTTGATTTCACTGAACTGAGGGTTTCCAACATCTTTTTGGTTGTTGACGGCATACTCCTCAAGATCTCCTCCTCTGATACCATTTGTTCACACCAAATCGATGACAACAGAATTGGTGATATGAATCATGATTTAAGGAACATAGAATTGAATTCCAGGCACTTTGAGACTGTCGCATGTCTCCCAAGGCTTTCGCCCAAAATCACACCTAGCTTGATCCATAGCCTAATGACCAACCCCCCTATTAATCCTATGACACTAAGTACAATTCTTGCATTATCTACTTGTATCAGTGCATTAGGCACTTGTATCTTAGCCTACTATATTTGACTATTTGACCCACTACCTAGGGTATAACAGCTCGAGTGTTTATCTACCATTTTAGCTGTTGCATAAACGAACGAGCTAGTTTTGTCAATTAACACAATAGTAAAAACAAAAAATGTACATTGTACATCCAGACACATTTGTCCTAGTATGCTCATCCACAAAGAAAGCAAAGTGATATTCACCAAGTTGTATTCCTTGTCTTATAAGAAAAACACTGATCTCACTACCACATGTTTAAGACAAGTCAGGACTTTTTCAGACAATTTCTTGATTGCATCAACATGCCATGACCTTCATTGTTACAACTCATTATGTGCATATTGGTTTTAAAATGACAAGTTTATTACATGCTTAGCATAAGGTGACCATTGTGATGAACAAAATCACAAGCAGCTTACTCGTGTGAGAGACCCCAAGGGTTGATGTTCCAAAACCCATGAGGTACATAGAAAACTGAACACATAGAATACTGACAGCCATAGTTTGAGACCCTAACTTGGAGAGGCATGTCAAGGTACATACCTCTTATTATCTAAATCACTAAATGGATTCGAATCTATATGGTGGGCTGATGGCATAGGAAGCATTTGGAGATACGAAGAAGTGTTAACACAATAAGTACTTTGATGCTCTCAAAGAGCCAACTTCTAGTTCCTATTCATGCAAATCTAAAGGAAGTTTTATCTCTCATAGATATCCAAATGGCCAAGGAATGTCTCATTTGATGACCTTTCCAACAACTTCGATGTAATTTGATCTCTTTATCTCTCGTCTTGTTATTTGGTCATGAAAAAGCAACATAATTCTGAGCATTGTTCTCTTAGTAGTTACTATCCATATTTATCACATCAAAATACTTGTTTAGTATGAAGAATCCTCTCATGTAGAGACACGGAGGTGAAGAGAATTTTGTCAATCTTATCCGCTTGTTAGCTAGAAACTTTAGGGTTGAATTTCCATTTAGGAAAGTGTTTCAATCATGGGCATTTGACATGCTTGTATTGCATTTATTAAGTTCTTATTCAATTTACTACTAATGCATGATGCAAGGCTTTTTTATTTCATCAAATTGTTAGTTCTTTTCTTGGTTCGTGTTATGACTAAATCTTGTGAATTACATCTAATGATTACAACATCAATATCTAGATTTTCTTTGAGGTGAATGATGAATGATAAGCTAGAATGGATTTTTCCTGCAATATTGTGATCATTCATGCTAGCTCACATGGTTAATTTTTAAGATGAGAGATGTCAATGGGTTGTGTGCATCCAAAAAGATGGCTTCAAGGACAAGGGAAAAAAAGAGGAAACAAGAAAAAGACACACGTATTGAAATCATCTAGCAATGTTACTCCGCACCTTTATACACTAGAATTGATTGCCTATCTCCATCCTTATATCTTGTTGGAATGCATCATTCTTTGGTGCAAAGTAATATCAGATATGATCTTAAAATTGAATGATTTGCTCACTCTCTTTATCTCTTCGTCTCTCTCTATCTCTATCTCCATCTCTTTATCTCTCTATATATATATATATATACACACATATATCCATCTATCTTTATTTGTAGACTACCGCTAGTAGCTCTATGGTAGTTGTGCTACCTTGAAGGTTGTGTTTCATCAGCTGGTAATCATGTTATGTAATTTTTTCTGTCAATGAAGTATTGGATTTAGTTGAATTGTTTGCCTAGTTTACATGTGTGTGCTCATTTTCAATTGAACTGCTTGATCCATCTCCTTGCAAAGAAAAGGTTTAAGAGACATTACTACTTACAGACCTCTTGTTCCTAATGAATGGAACAAACCACTACAAAATTTAAGAAGTATTCTCTTTGTTAGTTCATACTACCATAGTCAAACCCTCAGTAAATTCCCTCCTATGGAAGTTTTTTCACTAATTGGTGTCCCCAAACAACCTCATGGCCTCCCACATCTATATCTTGGAAGAATCATTTGGTATGTGCTAAACAAATAGTAAGCAAATGAATAACAAAATGAACTGAGAAGCACTAAGAAAAAGATAAATATCCTTGATATTAGTTCAGTATTTTACATACCAGTTAAAACAATAGGATAACTGCGTGGGAAAGATAATGCATTCCTGGAATCAAACCCACTTGTGTAGAATTCCACGCCAGCAGGTAGAACACACTGCATTACAACAAAACTTAGACAATGAGAGTGCAACATAACATGAATAAATATACTGAAGCAAACTATCATGACATTTGGTCATATAGATACAGAAATATGCCTTTGCCCAATGCAAAGGTTTCCCCATTGGTCAAGGGTTCAAATTGGAGAGACATTCTCTATGGTTTGCAAGGGTGAGAAACACACATGGTCAATGCCGCTTGACGAAAAGGGATGATACATTATTATTACAGCATATATTAGCATACCAATTTTATCACTACATAAAATCATGCACCACGAAAAATACACTTCAAGCCTTCATCTGTTACTGATACATTGTTTCCTCTGGTCTGACAACGTATCTCCAACTTAACCACAAGCAAGTAGAAATTACATTACCAGCAAGTATCTCACCTTCTTGAATAAAGACAGGGTTGATACAAAATTGAACAGGGATTAACACAATCACGACTCATATATTAAAAGATGCACATTACTCATCATTCCAAAAGAAGGGAAAGGATGAGGGGAAAAGTAGAGAGAACTGCATCTTGAATTGCGAGGCTAGAACTGTTAATTTCAACTTCAAAATTGATATGCAAGTTATGTAGCTTACAAGATAAAATCGTTAACTGCATTAGAGTTATAACAAGGACTGCATATAAAAGGTACTAGGCTAAATTTCTAGAGAAGGATAATCAAATTGCAATACAACACAGCAGAAATCAGAGGCTACGAAAACCCATATGATATCAAATCGCATTCAAATCAAAAAACTTACTGTGGGAAGCTGGGGCGGGGGAGGAGGATAAAGCATGTGAGTAGGAGGAGGGTACTGATCAAGGAGAGAAGCCAAATAGAAAACCCCTGTCCCATGAAACCCTTTTTCACCATCCAGCGTACGAATCTCCGGTCCAATTCCACACACCACGAAGTATTCGAACAACTGACTCATTCTCTCTCTCTCTCTCTAACTATACTTGGAATTACAAGCTAGAGAGAGAAAGAGAAGGCAACATAGATGATTGATTGAGCACTGTCAGAAATGAACTACCCTTGATGGATGGTTTTGATGATGCCTTTAACAGTTAACACAAAAACACTCCTTTCCCAGATCTGCTTGTGAAAATCTTTGAGAGATTGTAGAAGTGAAATGGATCTGAATTAAGGTTTTCGATGATGAAAAAAATTGAAAAAAGCAGTCAGATGTTTCAAAGGCAGCTCGTATTGCGGATATGGCGATCCGGGGCTTATTCGCTGGATCACCGTGTTGCCAAACGAACTCCTATTGATACTGGTGTGTTCACTGTGACATGTAATACTATTATACAATGAATACATAGTAAATTACGTTTATTGCCATTTTTGTTATATAATTTGTAATTTATTGTTATGTTAAATATCTATATCTAGGGTTGGTTCACGTGAGATCAAGGGTTTTCGTGAGACTCGTGAGACTAATTTATGTTCATTGATCAACTTTATAAACTAATGATCTAATAATCTAAAATTGCATGGTGGCAATTTTGTAATTATTTAGAAATCTCGTAGCAATTTTGTGATTATGAATGTTGAGATAGTAGATCTAATCCAAAGTTTGAGAATTGGTCATACGGGTCTTACGGAAAACCCCCGGTCTCATATGATCTCAAGTCTCTATATCTATTCTATATTATAAAGCATTTGATAAAACTCTTAAAAATCATTTTTTATGCGTAAAGTACTGTTTATTAATGTATATTACTTAAAACTCAAGATGACAAGTAGATTGTGCATAAGTACAACTTATTAAAGCTCCATATCTGAATTCGTGTAAATAACTGCAGATAAACATAATCAAATGCAGGATAAACATCTCATTTTAAATATAAAATATCTAAAATATAATTAGGATAATTATTGAATTCTAAAAGAATACTTAATTATTATCTTTATAAAATTTATAATATTAAACCAAAAATAAATTATTTTATTATTATATTTATATTATATTATAAAGCATTTGACAAAAACTCTTAAAAATCATTTTTTATGCGTAAAGTACTGTTTATTAATGCATATTACTTAAAACTCAAGATTACAAGTAGATTATGCATAAATACAACTTATTAAAACTCCATATATTAATTCGTGTAAATAACTGCAGATAAACATAATCAAATACAGGATAAATATCTCATTTTAAATATAAAATATCTAAAATATAATTAGAATAATCATTGAATTCTAACATAATATTGAATTATTATCTTTATAAAATTTATAATATTAAA